CCGAAGCCTTCCTCGTCACTTCGACACTTCGTCGCAGTGACGAGTGCGGGCCACCCGAGTTCCGACTGCGACACTTCGACACTATGGGCACGTCGGGCACGGCACGCCATGGCCTCCCCCTCCCCGTCAGTCATCGGTCAAGGTAAGTGGTTGTATGTTTCTTCTTCTTCTTCTTCTTCTTCTTCTTCTTCTTCTTCCCATTTCTAATTCTTCTTCTTCTTCTTCTTCTTCTTCTTCTTCTTCCTCCCCCCTTCTTCTTCTTTTGAGTCTTCTTTTGGCATAGCCGAAGTTTCCGACGCCCGAAGTTTCCGACGCCCAAGGTTTCCGACGGCCAAAAAGAGAGAGAGAGAGAGAACCTAACCTAACTAACTGTGTGCCTCCCCTCCCACACGATCAAGTGTTGAATCTGCGTCGATCAGTCTCATATCCGATCCTTCCACCCAAACGACCAAGCGCAGTACTGCTCTGTTCAGTTATCTGATCCGTGGTCCATGGAGACCTTTTTCTTTAATTAAAAAAAGAACGCGTTCTTTGATTTAAAAAAACGCCGTGCGCAAACGAGCGAGCAAGAGAGAGAGAGAGAGAGAGAGAGAGAGCCTAACCTAACTAACTATGCGCCTCCCCTCCCACACGATCAAGTGTCGAATCTGCGTCGATCAGTTTCATATCCGAGCCTTCCACCCAAAAAATCAAGCGTAGTACTGCTCTGTTCAGTTTCATATCTGATCCGTGGTCCATCGAGACCTTTTTCTTTAATAAAAAAAAAAGAACGCGTTCTTTGATTAAAAAAAACGTCGGGCGCGAACGAGCGAGCAAGAGAGAGAGAGAGAGAGAGAGAGAGAGAGAGAGAGAGAGAGAGTGTGTGTTGGCAGGACAGTTACTGCTCTCGTCCATTGCGATTGTTGTTGCCTCACTGTGTGGATTGGTTATACCACCAATTCAGTCATCTCCAAGACCCCAACAAACACCAAACTAGGCACACAACCTTGACGAAAAATAAAACAGGTCCAATTTCGGCCAGAAATAAAACCTAAAAAAAACTTATCCCCAAATGCACTTTTCAGGGCTGGGGGTGTTAACCTGGGGCTGAAAAGTGGGGTACCTGTTAACCACTTGTGGCAAGGTTGCGCCGGCTCAAGAAAAGGAGGAAGAAGACAACAATGACGGCAATGACCAAGCAAAGGGAGAAGAAAAAGAAGGAGAAGACGAAAGAGAACGGGAGAAGAAGAAGAAGAAGGTAGAAAACTTTCCAGTTCTTGAACGATGAGCTTTTAGTTTTCACATTCCAATGTCAAACTTCAGACTTCAACTTCAGAGAAGAAGAAGAAGCGATGAAGACGAAGAGAAGAAAGCATAAAGGGCACAGCTGACAATAGCAACACTCAAGATACTGTTGGACTCTTGTTCACTCGTTCATCAACCTTTGGCCATATAACATGATGCGCCAGGCCAACGTAATAAACATCTGTATGTGTTCAGCATGATGCTTACAATTCTGGATTCAAACGAGCACAAAAGGACAACGGATCACAACATTCATGATCCTACAGCACCATCTTCACACCTTGCAGCAGCACTGTCCTTCGATAGCTCCTAATGTGGTGGTCGTCTACGGCATCGTGTACTAGTCACAAACAGAGGCAAGAACATTAGCCTTGCCAACCTGCTGAAGTTTTTTTTTCACTGCAAAGAAGGGAGAGGGACAGGGCGTGGCAGTGCGAGGGAGTCCCCAGGAGCAGATGACCTGATGATCTCTGTGCGACCAACCTGGTTGAAGTTGAAATTGACCTCTGCCAAAGAACGCCTCCATGCGTACTGGAGATGGCAAATACAGTCCCACCCGAGAGGAGAAGAAGATCGCCAATGCCATCACTATCCACATCGAACTTCATATCAAACACAGATGATGAAAAAGAAGCATAGACGACATCGAGACATTTAGAAAACAGTTGCCGAAATTTCTCATGTGGAACATCAAACTCCGAGCAACAAACTAGTCAAAACCAGACAAAGGGCGTACTCACACTTGCAATATTTAAAATGTATCTGACCACATGAAAGCCAGACCTGGACATATCTGACCGCAATTACGCCCAGAAAGAAATAAAAAGGTCCTACTGTGAGGATGTCCTAAGAGAGGGTTAGCTGTCACGGCTTCGCCCGCAAAAACATAAAAGGAAAAGGGTGCAAACGAGGGTGGGTAGGGTTTGTTGGTCGGGTGTGGGTTTGGGTGGGGTCTGGGTGGTTCTTAGGCTCACCTGTGCATTGTTGTTGACACTGCCGATGGAATGCTGCTGCCACTTTGTAAGCCTTGGATAAATTTTTTCTATCTTTTTTTTTCGCTTTTTTGTCCTCTCAAACACGTGATCACATTTTCCAATCCTTTCAGTTCTGGTTTGCAGGGTTAATGGTTAATCGGATTTGAACTCACCTGTTGTGTGTGTGTCACACTTTGCATACTGGTCTCCCGCTAACCAAAAATATTCTTTCTCAGATGTCGCGAGATATGCAATTCCGCAATCGTGGTGGGGGGAGAGGGTGGAGCGCGCAGTTAGTTAGATTGGGGTCTCTCTCTCTCTCTCTCTCTCTCTCTCTCTCTCTCTCTCTCTCTCTCTCTCTCTCTCTCTCTCTCTCTCTCGCTCGCTCTCTCGCTCACTCTCTCGCAAACGTGCTGTTTTTTTCTTTTGTAAAATAAAAAGGTCTCAA